GAGAGAGAGAGAGAGAGAGAGAGAGAGAGAGAGAGAGAGAGAGAGAGAGAGAGAGAGAGAGAGAGATTCCAGACAGTGACTATTTTGGGCAGGATTGCGCCCAGGTTCCAACTTCACATTCTGCGGAGGTGGTCACTGGATAGTCGGGCGGACTCTATTTTGGGGGGATTGCATTGAGCTTTGTTATCTTCTCCCCTCATCTTGCCCTTCGTCTTCCTCCCACCTTCATCATCCGTGGTTCCTCCCAATGCGTGTGCTTGGAGGGATCTTTCTTCTATGGATGCCACCCTCCTTGCTCAGCCGGCATGTGTGACGATGTCCATGTGAGTCGAGTCTGGGTCTGACGGGTCAGGTCTCGTCGTTGTGTCTTCCGCTGCGCTACATTGCTTAGATGTACATTGTTTATCTGGTGTTCCCGTTGCTTGTTTCGATTCCCTCTCACCACACTGGGCTGTTGTGTCTTCTGCTGCACTACATTGCTTGGATGTACATTGTTTATCTGGTGTTCCCGTTGTTTGTTTCGATTCCCTCTCATCACACTGGGCTCCTTCGGACCCGTGCATCGCCCACCTCTTGGTGAGCATGCATCATAGGACCTCCGCCTGAATCATTGCCTTGGTTGAGGCCCAGACGCTGTCCCGGGGATTGTTGAAGCTCTCCAGAGTTCTGTTGCACCTCTCCTTCCATACGATCCACAGAGTCACCTTTCTTATTATGTCGAACCAGACCCTTTCCGCCTTGTGAAAGTGAGAGGAGGTGTTAGTTCATAGTAGGAGTCGCATGGGGTGTCCGGGAAGGAAGAGGGGAACAGGCATACCCAGAGGTTGGAGGCTCTAGCCCAGTACTCAGTAGCCTCTCTGGATTGCAGCTAGCAGTAAAACATATCTTCTTGTTCGTTGTCCGAACATACTACCCATAAATCTGAGCTGTGGGGGTCACTTTGCCTTCTTCTGATGTGCAGCCACTGGTTTACTGGTGGTGCAACTTATGATATGAGCCATTGGAGGCTCCTAGTTTAAATGGGCCTGAAACAGTATTCACCGGTTTGCAGTAGCTGATGCAGATCCCAGGGCTCGATCCCTAGTTCCCCACCTTACCTGTGTACAGTATCGGTGTCAACCCGTAGAGTTGAACCTGCGACCTGTAGGACCGCCAGTGGTAGGTAGGATTTCGTAGGTCACARGGTAGAAGGGMTTYRAACTGTAGATCTGTCGGGTAGGGGTCTAGACAGTCCAGGGGTCGTAGCTGTAGACTGTCTGAAGGGTCAAGGTCGTAGCTGCTACTTACCTGAAAGGGCAAAGTCGTAGCTGCTACAGTACCGAAAGGCCAAGATAGAGGTTTCWAGAAGTGGSCTTTCGGATTCAGCCTACGTTAGACAGAGGCAAGTGGTCAAGTGGTGGCAGTCCACCTCGTACAGTCAGCAGTCCCAGTCCACCCAGTCCGGTCCAGTCAAGCAAGTACCGTCTGGGACTGTGTGCACCATGGGCCAGSGGTTACAGGGCAGACCAAYGCATCACAGAAGTATAAATCAAGAGGCTGCACCCAGCCACTCATTCATTCCTGCGGAAGCCATGCAGAAGCGCTGCCACATCAGCTTGTGCGAGGAGGTCTGCAGTAGGCCCGAAGACGAAGTGGGCGAGAGTGAAGCAGTGTAGCCATAGCGATGCACGCTTAGCGCGAATCCAGGCAGAGCAATATGACTTCAGTAGGAGTCAGCATATAGCTGTGCGTTCAATACGATTGGGATTTCGGGACTTTGCTCGTGAGTTGGTGGGCGCTGTAGGAACCGAGGTGGGCCATCGCCTCGACAAGACTGAGCGGTTTTGTGCTGGCGCCATTGAAGGCGTCAAGGCGGCAGCTCCCAAGGAGGAAGCACGTCCTCGCCGGGAGCCGGTCAAAGTCAAATTCCCTGATTCCTACAGTGGAAAACGGGAAGAGAACTTTGACAATTGGGAGGCCAATGTGAAGGCCTATGTGCATCTGCAACAGGACTCCCCGGATCAGCATGTTCTAATTGCGATCCACGCGCTTAGAGATGAGGCCGCCAGCTTCGCAAGGTCCCTAGTTCGTGCTGCCAACTGCAATGATGATGCAGTTGCGTACTCGTCGTTCACTCCCCTCGTCGATTTCCTGAAGTTGTTGCGCGAGCGATTTGCTGATGTCGCTCGTAGTGTTAAAGCCTCACATAGGCTGCAGACGATCCACTCTCGTCAGTGGAAGAGTGTCAGGGCACTCAAGAGCACAATGGATGAATTAGTGGTTGTACCTGACCATGGGGTCACTGATACCCAGTTGGTTGCCCTCTTCTATAGGGCTATGCCCGAAGCCTTTCAAGGGCACTTCTTCGCGAAGAGCGAAGACCCTGCCACCACTTATGATGCTCTTAGCCGTGAGGTGGTAGCCTTCGAGGCAAAGTCCGTGTCAGTTTCCACTTTCTGGCACAAGGACTTGGACAAAGGCAAGAAGTGGAAAGCCGGCACTATCTCAGGGCAAGTGAAGACTAAGGATAGTCTTGTCCTAACTCTAGATGAGGGTAGTGTGGATGAAATCCCCTACGACCAGATTGAGTGGGGGTTAGAGGAGGAGGACAGCGGTGTGGGCCAGGGGAGAACTTACGTTGCTGTCGCGGCTGGAAGGAGGCCGCAAGGAGGAGGAAGAGGCCAGGGCCAAGGGGGCCGGGCCTCAGGGAGCCGGTTTCAAGGCGATCAGGGGGTTGGCGGCAGAGGAGGAAACCGCCAAGCGGGAGGAAGGGGTCAAGGTCCCCCGCAAAACCGTCCTAGAAACAGGTCTCCCTATAGGGTAGGAGGATGGCACCTAGGGCTACCATAGGGTAGGCCTTGGGAAACTTTGGGTCTGGACCGGAGTTTATGGCAACAACGATTGGACCGGGGGCAGTGCATTTTCTGCGGTGACCCCGGCCATATCATTAAATACTGTCCCAAGTATCGAGAGACCCGAACGGCTGCTCAAGAGCCAAAAGGCAGCCGCTGGTAGGGGTAGCAACTGCCCTTACCATAAGGCCATGTGGGGAAAATAGCGCTAGCCGGCAGGAGACTCCACACCACATGTGTCTATGGCAGAGGTTGCAGGCCGGTGTCTAGATAGTTGTCTAGAGACTGCTTGTATTAGGGTCTCCCTAGACACCTCCCTCACAGGCGTGGCCGAAGAGTTGAAAGAGAGGGTGCCCGCCTGGGCCAAGATGAAAAAGGAGACTAAAGGGCAGCTCATATTGGTAGATACAGAGATTTTTAGAAGTAGAGTTGGCGCCTTAGTGGATAGTGGAGCCACTCGTAGTTATATCAGTAGGAAGGCGCTACAAAAGCTGAAGTTGCAATTAAAAGTCCAAAAGTTAGCCGACCCTGTAATCAGTATCCTTGCGGATAATCGCACGATGCGAGTGGAAGACTACGTAGAGGGAGTTCAGGCGTATTTCTGCCTAGAGAAGGATGGGAAAGTAGAGAAAGTTTTCCACTCCCTGACTCTCCTTGTAGAGGATAGCGTCCCATTTGATATAGTCCTGGGTATGGACTGGGGAGAGGCAGCCGGGGCCACACTCCACTTGAGAGAGCATGAGTGTAGGCTCCCTAGCTCGTCAGGCGACGTCAAGACGGCGCGTCTGTACCATGTGTCAGGAGTAGATAACTCCTTGGCACATTGCTGCCTTAGCGCTCCTGCATTTGCATGATTAGTGAAAAGGGAGCAGCTAGAAGAACAGGTCTTCGTAGCCTATGTTAGGCCAGTCACTGAGCCTAAGGAAGCTATTCCCAAGTTGCTGGAAGAGTTTAAGGACCTAGCTGAGCCGCGGACGGGAACAGTGTCGCAGCCCATCCAACACCGTATTGAGATAGAGCCTGGCAGTAGAACTCCTAAGGGCGTTGTGTATAGGATGTCCCCACGGGAGTTGGAGGAGCTTCGCAAGCAATTGGACGAGCTCCTTGAAAAGGGTTGGATTAGGCCCAGTTCGTCTCCTTTTGGAGCACCTGTTCTCTTTGTCCCCAAGAAGGAGGGAGAGCTAAGGATGTGTATAGACTATAGGGGTCTAAATGCTATTACAATGAAGAATGTTGAACCACTGCCGAGGATAGACGATCTTCTAGATCGAGTGCATGGGTGCAAGTATTTCTCTAAGATAGATTTGAAGTCCGGATATCATCAGATAGAGGTTCACCCTGATGATCAGTATAAGACCGCGTTCCGGACTAGATATGGGCATTATGAGTTTATAGTGATGCCCTTTGGACTAACCAATGCGCCAACAACTTTTCAGCGGTGTATGAATGACCTGTTTAGGCCTTGGTTAGATAGGTTTGTCGTAGTTTATCTGGATGATATCTTAGTGTTTAGCAGGACCCTCGAAGAGCATCAGGGTCATCTCAGGCAGGTCTTGGAGAAGCTGAGGGAAGCTAACTTCAAGATCAACACAAAGAAGTGCGAGTGGGAGAAGACCCAAGTTTTGTATTTAGGCCATGTCTTAGACGGAGACGACATCAAACCTGAAGACAACAAGATTGCAGCGATTAGAGATTGGCCGACACCGCGTACGTTGACAGAGTTGCGGTCGTTCTTAGGCCTAGCAAACTACTATAGGAAGTTCGTGAGGAACTTCTCCACCATCGCTGCGCCCCTTCGCAGATTGCCCAGGAAGGAGACCATCTGGAAGTGGGATAAGGACTGCACGTCTGCTATGAAGAAGTTGAAACAGGCGTTGATAGAATATCCAGTCCTTAAGGTAGCCGATCTGTCCTTGCCCTTTGTCGTCACTACGTACGCTAGTCAGTACGGCATAGGTGCTGCGTTGCAGCAAGACGATGGCCATGGTTATAGGCCCGTAGAGTTCATGTCCGCCAGAATGCCTTCAGAGAAGGTTGCGACATCTACCTATGAGAGGGAACTCTACGCTCTCAGGCAAGCCTTGGAACACTGGAAGCACTACTTGCTTGGGAGGCACTTCAAAGTCTATTCCAATCATGAGACGCTGAGGTGGTTAAAGACGCAGGCCAAGATGACATCTAAGCTTACTAGGTGGGCCGCAGAGATAGATCAGTATGACTTTGAGCTCAAGCCAATCAAGGGAAAGTATAACGTAGTTGCGGATGCTCTGAGTAGGAGAGCTGATTACTTTCGGGCAATAGTGCATTACCTAGACATAGGGAAGGACCTGCGGCAGAAGATTAGAGAAGCCTATGCGCAGGACCCTATCTATAGTGACCTCCTCAAAAGGGTCAAGGAGGGCCCAGAGACTGAGCCGAACTACCACACTACCGAAGGGTTGCTCTTTGAGAAGACTAATGTATTTGACCGTCTGTGCATTCCCAGTAGCGAAGAGGTCCGTAGTCTGATTTTGGGAGAATGCCACGATACAGAGGGTCATTTTGGTTGGCAAAAGACTTTAGCCGATCTGATGCGCGCATATACCTGGCCAGGGATGAAGAACGACTGCGTAGAGTATGTTCGCAGGTGTAAGGTCTGCCAGCGTAACAAGTCTTCTACGCGTGCCCCGTTAGGTCTTCTCAGACCCTTGCCCATTCCGGATCAGCCGGGAGATTCAGTGTCCATCGACTTCATGGACACCCAAGTCAAGAGTAGGCATGGCAAGAGTCAAGTCATGGTCATAGTTGACCGTTTTAGCAAATGTGCAGTTTTTGTTCCCTTGCCGTCAGAGGCACGTACAGATTTAGTGATACAGAAGTTTTTTGACTGCTGGGTTAGTGAGAATGGAATCCCACTGTCAATAATTAGCGATAGAGATAGTCGCTTCACCAGCCAGAACTGTCAAGAACTCATGAGAGTGTATGGATCTCAGTTGTTGATGTCGTATGGCCGCCATCCTGAGACTAACGGTCAGACAGAGCAAATGAACAAGATCCTACAGCAAGTTTTGCGCATGTACATTAGGCCAGATCATATTAAATGGGATGAGATGTTGCCTAAAGTAGCTAGTGCGTATAATAATAGTGTGCATCTGTCCACGTGCCGCACTCCCAATGAACTGCACAAGTCCTTTAGACCGTGTAGACCGTTTGAGGGACTCAACCGGGATCAGATTCACAGATTACCGCCCGGGACCAAGGAGTTTGCTGTACAGCACGAGAAAGAACTAGCTACTGTTATAGAGAACCTCAGGAAGGCCCAACATAGGATGATAGAGCAAGCCAACAAACATCGTCGCCCCTCACAGTTCCAGGTAGGCGACTTAGTCTAGGTCAGTTCTAGAGAGTTTGCACCTGAGGAGAACATCTCGCAAAAGTTACTGCCCACCTATAGAGGACCGTGGCCAGTCTTAGAAGTCAAGGGTGGCGAAGATGGACCATCCTACACCATTGAACTGCCCCTACACCTCCACACCTACCCAGTTTTCCATGCGTCAAAGTTGTTCCGTGCACAGTAAGCGATCAGTTTCCATCTAGGCGATCTATGATCCCACCTGACATGGACGGGCGATACGACATTGACGGCATCGTAGGTGAAGATATGTTCAGAACAGGAGGTAGAGGTCGTCCTCAGAAACAATACAAAGTCAGATTTTCCTATCAAGAACCAGAAGACGACCGGTGGCTCACTAGGACTGAACTTCTAGAGACGGCTCCCGACATAGTCCGCACCTACGAAAGAGATAAGAAAGGTAAAGGTCCTGCATTGGACTGAAATTTTCTCGGAGGACCTCGAATTTAGGCCGGCGGGAGTGAAACAGTATTCACCGGTTTGCAGTAGCTGCTGCAGATCCCAGGGCTCGATCCCTAGTTCCCCACCTTACCTGTGTACAGTATCGGTGTCAACCCGTAGAGTTGAACCTGCGACCTGTAGGACCGCCAGTGGTAGGTAGGATTTCGTAGGTCACAGGGTAGAAGGGATTYGAACTGTAGAYCTGTCGGGTAGGRGTCTAGACAGTCCAGDGGTCGTAGCTGTAGACTGTCTGAAGGGTCAAGGTCGTAGCTGCTACTTACCTGAAAGGGCAAAGTCGTAGCTGCTACAGTACCGAAAGGCCAAGAYAGAGGTTTCWAGAAGTGGSCTTTCGGADTCAGCCTACGTTAGRCAGAGGCAAGTGGTCAAGTGGTGGCAGTCCACCTCGTACAGTCAGCAGTCCCAGTCCACCCAGTCCGGTCCAGTCAAGCAAGTACCGTCTGGGACTGTGTGCACCATGGGCCAGSGGTTACAGGGCAGACCAACGCATCACAGAAGTATAAATCAAGAGGCTGCACCCAGCCACTCATTCATTCCTGCGGAAGCCATGCGGAAGCGCTGCCACAGCAGCTTGTGCGAGGAGGTCTGCAGTAGGCCCGAAGACGAAGTGGGCGAGAGTGAAGCAGTGTAGCCATAGCGATAGGTAGCGGCAGCCATAGCTGCCATAGCTTAGTGTAGAGTGCAGCGTGTGTGTACTGTGTGAGTGTCCAGAGTGATGTGCGTGGGACACCCAGGGTGATCCAGAGTGTAAACAGTGAGTTGTTTGGGCGCACAGCCGCCATAGCCAATTGCAAGAGAACTCTTATCTGGTTGCGATATCTCTGAGTACTGTGTGGGCGCAGGTCGCCAGTTTGCGGTATCGCTGTTTACATACATGAAGGGTGTGTTTGAGTTGAGTCTGATTCCAGGGTGAATGGATTTGAAATTTTTCCACAAGACGTGATTGGCTTCAGCCTCGATTAGTTTGGACCATCTGTTTTGATTGTGGGCTCGGGGTCTTTTATCTTCAAACCACCAGTACACAGCCCCAGCCTTGCAGAAAATGAATTTGTCCCCACCGTCACAACTTTCAGGGCCGGGCCACCGTTGATAAATTTCATCAATGGCCTTTGTCGCGTTTCCGGCCTCTGAAAGTCGCGGTGAGGGGCCCGCGGCCGATGTATCGCCATATACTGTATGAGTCTGTAATGACTCTGTATCCCATTTTGACAGTGTAGTCTGGTATGTGAATCGGGGTTTTGGTGGTCCTATTCTTATCTGGAGCAAGGCCCGCTCTGTCGGGTCAAATTTCAGCTCTTGAATCACCCTACCTGGAAAGATAGTTTTTGACCAGCCCAGCACCTCTACTTTTTGCAGCATGAAAGAGCTAAGAACTACTACCTCTGTCCTTCGGGACATCCGTTAAAATTGGAACGATACAGAGAAGATTAGCATGGCCCCTGCGCAAGGGGAAAAAAAAAAAAAGTATTATAATCTGAATACTCATAAGTCCAATACCATTGATGTCCAATCACTTTGATAGTAATTGCAGGATCTACTACCTCATCCATGGAATATAATAGAGCAAATGATGGTATTGCAATGAACATTAGTATAATACTAGGAAAAATAGTCCAAATGATTTCTTTAGTGGTTCCATGAACAATTCTCTCTGGAATTGGGTTTTTCTTATAGTGAAAATGCCATAAAACACGAACCATCATCCATAACACGAAGATCAGAATCACCATCAAGAAAAAAAAGATATCATGATGTAGGATAGGGGTCAGTGCAGAACGCCTGCCCTCATAAGAACTACTACCTCTATATCCCTGTTACGAATGGAGGGGGACTAAGCGGAAAGGAAATGAAAACGCCAAGGAGGTCAGAGCCTGGCTGTCTGTGGGAGAATTGGAAAGCCCTGTTCGGAATTGTTTCCTGGACCAGGACCCCCTACTCTCCTGATTTCCATGTGAAATCTTCTTTCAACAGGTCCATTCAACTCTCAGGGATGCATTTAGCACTCTCTGTAAGTTTTCATCTCCGCGGTGGCATTCTCTGAGGTGGGCACTGAGTTCTTGTTCTTCCATCCAATCCTTTTTTCCCCAAATCCCAAATGTGGCTTACCTTCCAAACCCTGTGGTTGATCCAAGATCTCCACCCCCTGCCCCTTTGCCTTCAAAGACAGCGAGTGGTCGCCTTCATCTCTCACCCACGGGTTTCCGAAGAGAGGTTGCCTCAGGACTTCCTCTTTAGATCTGGGTCTACCAACTTTTTTTGGCATGAATCCCACCAAATAGGAGGCAGTGTAGTCGGATGAGCTCTTTCTAGGGACAATGGTGCTATCTGGCAGACCTGGACCCTAGGTCTGAGAGGAAAGAGTGGGATAGGGCAAGCTGACAGTCAATCCTCCACCACGGTGGAGCAATCAATGCTGTTCAGGGATCCTTCGGCCAGACGGAAGGAAGCGTATGTGAGTTTTCTTGATGTAATGCTATTTCGACTTGCCGGTGGAATAGGAACCGGACTGACGCTCCCCAGAAAAGAAGGAGCCAGGACCATAAGGCCCTGTTTTAAAAGAAAAAAAGAAAAAAAAAAAGAAAAGGGAGGCAGTGTAGTCCCATACAGAATTGGAGTTCAGACTTCATTCTGCACAGCCCCTCTTGTATGTTTCTTGCAGGCCCTGTCTCTGGGCTCCACTTTTTGTTCATCAGAATCATCACCCTAAACAGCCCAGACATGTTAGTCAGAGTGTTCATGGGGGGCAAGGATCAAATGCTGTCTATTAAAGCCAGTTTGTTCCACACCAGCCTTAGTCTGGTTAAGAGCTTTACCACCACTTGAAAGCACATTTACGGCCAATGGCCAAACAGAGCCAACCAGAATGCTGCTATAACTTTTTCCATTCACCATCCAGAAGCTTCAATGAATGCATGTTATGATCACAGGGTCAGACATCAGAGATGAAACACAGATGACATTCATGCCCACCAACCCTGTCTTCAGTGCACTTGCTCCATGCGCCGTGCATCACCCCTTCCCCGCCCCACAAACTGGCCCATTTTTCATTTCAATACAGAAACCAAAGACTTCAAAAATGAGCTGATGTAATGGATCAAGCTGGTGGAGTTGTAGGACACACACATCTGATATGTTACATACCTGAAGTGCTTCCTCCCACTCTCCTTGCTTCATGAGACAAGCAGCACAGTTGCTCAGAAGGACAGCATTTTTCTCACTCAGCTGGATGGTTGACGTGAACGCACACACACACACACAC